TGATAGGAGGGAGCTGGGAGCTAGGAGTCTGCACAGCTGACTCTTCTGCGCCTGCTCGGCTCTGCTCAGTGCCCCATCCAGTCCCTCCTCCTTGAGTGTTTTCCAGTGTGCGATTTCGCGGTAGGACCAGAAGGGAGATCTTTGTGGCAGAAGAGAGAACAGGGCAGCTGGTGACAGGGCCGGGCATTCACCGCCCCCGCTCTGGGAAACAAAGTCCAGCGGTGGACCCCACTCTCCCAGGCTCACAAACAGCCTTGGGGCCAATCCAGGCGCTCCTGCGGATTCTCAGAGACTCCTTGGACCCGCGTGCAGCGTTCTGCCGGCGAGACTGTCTCGCGATTTGGTTTCTCCTCAAGTCCCCTTTCTGGCTCCCATTCACTGGCCCCCAGGGCCGCTCTGCTCTGGTCCATCCGGGTCACGGCCCTGCTGCTTCTTGCCAGACTGCAGCCTCCCTACCTCACCCTGATGACGGCCCTCCTGCCGCCCCGGTCCCTTCCACAGCATCACATCTTCCCTCCTGGTTCCTCCACTTCATCTGCTCCCCACCCCTCTCTGATTTTAGGGTCCCGACCTTCCCCCCAGACACCCTGTCACTCTGTCTGCTTCTCACATGGTGGGACATCCACACTCATTTTTTGCTTTGTTCCCCAACTGACAACAGTTCAACTGACAGTGACCCTTGGATATTGCAGGGACACCACCAAACTGGTGGTGATGGTGACTTCCCAGAGGACTGCCCCTCCTTGGTCAAGGGCCTCCAACTGCAGGCTGCAGCCCCTCATGCTCTGCTCCGATGGTCATAAGGTGTGGACATCCTGTTTCTGGAAACCTTAGCCCCTGGGTCTGGTGATCAGAGCCCCAGGGCCCCTGTCCCAAGCCTTTCTCAGGGGGTGGCCCCCACGAGGCTCTGGCTTAGTGACTTCCCAGATGGTGGGGCTGAACTTGGGTCACCCAGTGGGCCAGCTTCAATCCCCCCTTCCTGGTCTGCAGCAGGAAAAGAGAGCAAGCCGTGAAGGTCACTGCCCAGAACTCGTCACAGCCGAACGTGGAGTGTTTTACAATTTCCAGTCTGATCTTTGCAATGCAGAAAATGATGGAGCTGTAAGTGAGAGGAATCATAAATGTGCCCAGACCTGTCTGAGAATTTCACTGGGGGCCACGAGGCTGCCTCCATAGCCGGTTGCTGTGGTCTTGGGGTCTTGGCCAGGATAATGCATTGACTTTTGGGTTGACCTCGGGCCAGACAGAAATCTTCCAAGTGAGCCACTGCAGGAGGGAAACCCTGCACTTCCTCCCTCTGTAATAATATACGCTGCAGGCCTTTGAAGATTAATCACTTAACAGAGGGAAAGTGATCTCAGTTAATTCTGCTGGAGTCATCTCTTTCTTTGTGGCTTGAATGTTACTTTCCTGAGGAAGGTGGGAGAGAATTCAAATTTGGTTTTTAGCTCCATAATCAGGGGCCTCTCTCAGATACCTGTAGGTACTACACCTCCCGTCCACTCTTGGCAAAAGATTCAAATCCTTTACACCCAGAGGGCCCAGTCCCTTCTAAGACCAAATCCGGAGGGTCCATTAGTACAGTGGCTACTTTCAAGGCCATGGAGTCTGAGTTTGAATTCCAATTCCACTTCTTGATAGAAGTATGATTTTTGAAAAATATCTTGTTCATCAAAAAAAAAAAACCAAAAAACGAAATTGGAACACTGTATCCAATATCACAGACTAGGTGGCTAAAACAACAGAAATTTATTGTCTCACAGCTCTGGAGGCTGGAAGTCCAAGATCAAGTGTCGGCAGGGTTGATTTCTCCTGAGGCTTCTCTCCTTGACTTGCAAACGGCCGTCTTCTTGCTGTGTCCTCACGTGGTCTTTCCTCTGTGAGCACATCCCAGGCATCTCTGTGGCCCCAAATGATCTGTTCTCATAAGGACAATAGTCATTAGGGTGGATTAGGGCCACCCTAATGATCTCATGTTACCTTAATTGCCCCTTTAAAGGCCCTATCTCCAAATGCAGTCACATAGTAAGGTCCTGGGGGTTAGGGCTTCAACATAAGAATTTGGGGGTGGGAGAGGTGGGGACATTGCCCATAACAAGTGCCTACATCACAGGGTTCTTCTAAATAAGATACATGCTCAGTGAATCATGGTGTGTGGTTTCTCTGGGGTAGCCTCTGTTTCCTGCTGGATGCGTGGGTTTGAGGTGGGTGGTCTGTGAAGCTCCAGAGGATATAACGTTTGGCGGTCTACCACTTTACCATGTCGGAAGCCGATGAGGCAGAGGTAAGACGGGGACTGGACATCAGCCAGCCCACGGGCCCCCGGCCGAGTGTCAGCTCTCGGTCCTCCACGTGACTGTCTCCCGAGCCCCCCTTGTAATTTAGCAGTGATGTCTTATGACGTTTGGGGAACATTCATACCACATCCTAGAGAGAACTTCCAGAAGCGCTGACGGTGGACCGAGGCAGTGTGTGCGTCGGCTCAGAGGGCAGTATTTCTGCAACACCCTGAAGCCACAGGCATGGATCTGGAAGTGGCGTAGGTGACCCAGAAGATAGATTGACGATGAAGGATTGAATTTCGCTTCACCAGTGCGGTCAGTGGACGTTTGAATTCCTCTTTGCTCATTTTGGGCATGGTTGGGGCTATCATCCCAGCACACCGAACAATGAAATCAGGACGGTGACAGCTGAGGGGCTGTCCCGCTTCTGCACCCCAGGTTTGTTCAAGAGCACACTCAGAGTTAGACTGGATTAGACCACGCTTCAGCAAAAGCTAACTTCTTACTTCATGAGCTTGTGCTTTTCTGCAAACAGGGGAAGTAATACCTTTTGCTTTATTAGAAGAAACAGAAAAATCAAGCCTTCTTTCCATTCAGCTGCTGTAGAGATCCCCCTGATCACTGAGGGTCGGTAGCACCTCTGAGATGTATCACTTTTAGCATCAAGAAATGGGTTCACCAGGAGAGGGGTAATGCCGCAAAGAAGCTTTCCGAGGGTGCTCCAGTTTTGGTAATAAGCCTGGCCCAGACGATCAAGATGACTGCACGTTCCCTGCCGTCCAGAAACCTACAGCCTAAATCATGTGACTTCCAAGGGAACCCATTCCCCTCCCTGCCCCAGCCTCAAAAGAACACGAACACAGGAGGCGCTGAAAGGTTAGCGTAGCCACTGTGACGTGGTCGCAAGAGACCACATGGCTTCAGCAGAGGCTGGTGGAAATGCCCTGTGTGTACAAAGGGCAAAGCAGGACACACATAAGTATTGTGTTCAGAACTTTCCAGAAAAGTGAGAGGAAAATCATCAGGTGTTTTCAAGATTGGCTTCTATGGAGAAATTGGGATTGTTTCTTCCCTGTTTATTTTCCACACTGGCTGTGATTCTTGCAAAAGCAACACATACTCATTGTCACAGTTAACCTTCCAGGCTTTTTCTGTGCCCTGCCAACACACTGGTTTTTGGCATCAGACTCTAATGTTCTGCAAGCTGCAAACCGGTGCATCTCCCTGAAATGTTGGAAGGGAGGTGCCGCGTGGGATGGGTGGGGAAGGACAAATGCGTGGGGCGGTGGGGAGGGAGCGACAGAGGACTTTGATCCTTCACTGAGGGTCAAGTGGAGAGGTGAGGAGGGGCCGGGGAAAGACCAACAGAAGGCTGGAGCTCTGGGCCAGCTTCGTGGGTCTCTTGATGAATGAGGCTCCTGGATCTGACCTTTGGACTTAAGAGGGAAAACGACCAGGTCACTTTGATGTCAGCCTGGAAGAACGCCGTAGGGGAATCGTGCTCTGGGGCGAAGGTGGGGACTTTGATTAGGAGATGGTGGCCCATGGGGTAGTATTCAGGACTCCAGCTGAATTTAGCTGCATTTAATTCTGAAATCTGGTGAGAGAAGAAAAACAAAAGAGGCACTAGATGGACTGAGTGGAGATAATGCTTGAAGGAGCAGAGGGGCAAGGGGGTCTTGCTCCAGAGGAGATGGTATGACGATGCCTGACTCATGATTGCCTGCTCATGGGTGGATTTGGAGAGACTTCAGCCACTGTTTATTGTGTTTAGATTGATTGAGCTACAAATATCACACAGGCAGCGTCATAAATAAAATTGCTCTACCGTCCCTTGGGATCAGACACATTCACTTGCTCGTTGAGGAGACATGTAGGTAATGATGTGCAGAGGCCTTGGAGAGCTCACCAGGCTAGGGAGGGGAAAGGCATCCCCAAAGCCCAAGTTACACTGCTCATTGCAGGACAGAAGCAGAAAGGACAGGGCCTCACCAGTCAAGGCCTCGGGGAACCTTGAGCAGTGGCTGATTGGAGAAGGCAACAAGGAACGTGGGGAGACCACGAGAGACGAGAGTGAATGAGAAAGCAGTCAGAGAAACACAGGCTATCCCCGGGTCCTTGATCAGGGTGGCCTTAGGGAGTGGATGGGGAAATGCCAGATAGAAGATGATCCCCTTAAGGGCTCCTTGGCCTTGAGTGAGCTGACGAGAAGGGGAAGGGTGACTCCAAAGCCTTCTCCAAGTAGAACAGTTGTGCAGCTTGGGGCACTTAGTCAGCTCTCGGTCTTCACAATCGGTGATCCCATCTGCTGGCTGCTCTGAGAGCACAGCCTGGTAGTGACAAGGACACCGACCCCGCCGTGAGCTTATGATCTCTTACAATAGAACACATGGGGCCCCTCCCACAGCAGAGGCGATGAGCCGGCACAGCGGTCCTGCCTCTCCAGCCCCTTGGCAAAGCATGCCAACCTCAGCTTCACTCTTGAGCCGTGGGTCTCCAGCAGTTCTGGACTGGGTCGTTGACACTAAAGCTAGATTTCACAAGCTGTCAGCTTAGGGGGCAGCCATGGCCTCCGAGTGCGGGTCCTGATTTTGTGTTTCTTTCTCCCTCCTCCTTTAGATCGTGGTGTGTGTGGGCGTCTCCTCGGCTGGCAGCCCTGCTGTGCCCGGCGGTGGAGGTCCACGCTTTTGACTGTGTGGGTTTGTGTCTTTCCGGCAGGTGTCTCCTCTGTGACTTCCCTGCTGTCCCTGGCTTGGGTGCTAGCCTCCTATCACAAGCTGCTGCGGGACTCCAGGGACGACAAGAAGAGTATGAGCTACAGAGGGGCCCTCGTCCACCTCTTCTGGCGCCTCTTCACCATCTCATCCAGAGTTCTCTCTTTTGCCCTCTTTGCCTCCGTCTTCCAGCTCTACTTTGGGATCTTCGTGGTGGTTCACTGGTGCGCCATGGCCTTCTGGATTATCCATGGCGGGACAGATTTCTGCATGTCCAAGTGGGAGGAGATCCTCTTCAACATGGTGGTAGGGATCGTGTACATTTTCTGCTGGTTTAACGTCAAGGAAGGGCGGACTCGATATCGAATGTTTGCATATTATACGATAGTCTTGACCGAGAATGCTGCCTTGACGTTCCTTTGGTATTTTTACAGAGACCCGGAGACCACTGACTCCTTTGCGGTGCCGGCACTGTGTTGTGTCTTTATTAGCTTTGTGGCTGGGATTGCACTGATGCTCTTATATTATGGTGTGCTGCATCCCACGGGGCCGCGAGTTAAGATCTTGGCCAGCTCCTGTTGTGCCGAGCTGCTCTGGGGCATCCCTTTGCCCCCCGATGTTGAGCCCATGGCGCCTCAGACCCCTGGGTACCGGGGGACCCAGGTCACGCCTACCAGAGCCGTAACGGAACAACAGGAGGATCTCACGGCTGACACTTGCTTGCCCGTTTTCCAAGTGAGACCCATGGGGCCCTCTACCCCGTTGGGGCGTCCTTACCTCCCAGAAGGGCCCCTCATTAAGATTGACATGCCAAGAAAGAGATACCCGGCTTGGGATGCTCATTTTGTAGACAGGAGATTGAGAAGGACTATTAACATTCTGCAGTATGTCACCCCCGCCGCGGTAGGCATTCGGTATCGAGATGGACCGCTCCTTTACGAGTTGCTACAGTATGAGTCTTCACTCTAAGAGCATCTTGACCCAAGTTGAGAAGGGGACCTTAAGTTTGGTTTGCGGTAAACGCCGCTTGCAAGAAATATAACTCCTCCCTTCCTTCAATACACAGAACTACCACCACCACTACCACCACCACCACCACCAATGCTACAAAAAACAAAAAGAAAATAAGTCACAACCCCTTCAGATAAGCTTTCTTTCCAGTCGCTGTATGTATACAAAGATATTCTCTATGTTTTGTAAGTAAAAACAAAAAGAAAACCTTTCTTTTGTTTTTTACACATAAGTAACAGTATTGAAAAAAAATCCCACACTATGGTTCATACGGTGGAGAAGTTGTCTCCTCTCCAAAAGAAAAACAAAGTTTTATACCTTTACACCAAGTGTAGGTCATTTACGGGATTGGTGCTGATTGAAAGAACAAAACAAAACAAACACAAACAAACAAACAAACACAACCTTCAACTGCCTTATGCCCTTAGGTGCTGAGTTTCATTAAGTACTGTCACGTTTTCTCATGCAAAACTCTCTGGTGATTTTTGCACTGGGAGAGGGAAAATTAAACAATCAAATGAAACCAATCTAGAAACGAAACAAAAACCAACCAACAAATAAAACACAAAGCAATCATTCTTCCTCTCTGATGATTTGTATTGAAGAAAACCAATTGACCAAAAGCAAAAGCATAGAAACCCCTCCCTCTTTTTGGTTTCTCTCCCCCCTTCTCCCGTCCCTGCCCCCAACTTCTCAGCCCCTTCTTGGAGCCAAAGGGCCATTTGAAATTCAGATGGTTGGAAAAGCTCCTTGAAGGCTGACTAGGTGCCATTTTAGCGTTCACCTATTAAGAATCACATTTGTTTCCTGGTGAAAAGCAAAACAGAACAAAACGAAAACCACCCTAATAATTCGATAAGAAAAGGAAATTCTAAAGCAAATTAAAGGAGATTTCCATATATGTAATCAAAGAGAATCAGTAATAATAAAACTCAGCATAGTAGCAAAAAGAATGACATCAATTTAAAGGCACAATATACTTAATCAGTGACTGGCAAAAATGATTTGTTCTGTCATTTTAAGGCCGTGAAAGGTATACATTTATCCCATGTGATATTGTGTAAGGCCTCTTCTGTTTCCATTTGGTGGGAAGCCTTAAATTGATCTGGAAAGAATTCTTCATTTTTCGTTTGTGCTTTTTAAAAATAGTAACACAAAGAGGAAAATTAGAACATAAAAAATAAGTTAAATTGTAATAACTGACCCATTTCAAAGACTGTTTGGTGCTTCTGTCTTTCACCATTGTGGTTGGCTGAAAGTTATTCAGCTCACTTGGTGCATCTGGGTTGAGTGGGAAATTTTGTGTGTGTCGTGTGTGTGTGTGTGTGTGTGTGTGTGTGTGTGTGTGTGTGGTGTGTGCGTGCCCATAGCACACATATGTGTGTGTGTGTGTCTGTGTGTGTGTGTGTGTGTCTGTGTGTGTGTCTGCTGCAAGGTCTTGCCAGAAATGTAGAAAAAACAATATAAGACAGACTCTGGGTATCGCTGAGGTGGAGTGTAAGGGGCTGGGAAGTGGGGAGCAGGGGGAGGGGATGTTGCTCTACCTTGAGCCCCTTTATGATGGCAAGAGTCACACCAGCAGCATACTCTGGGTCTTAGAGACCGTGTCATTTGGGTGAAGATTTGATTCAATTATTTATTTCCTCATTGTACCAAGTTGAATTTCTGGAGGTGTTGCGAGTATGTTCAACCATTTTTTAAATGTTATTTTTCAAAGTATTGCTCTTGTAAGGAATATTCTGTTCTAGGGCATCGTTTCAATCCCACCTTATCTCTACTTGGGCACAAAAAAAAAAAAAAAAAAAAAAAAAAAAAAAAAAAAAAAA